TTACCACACTCATTTTTCATAATTATCTATTTATCTTTTTCCTCACTGGCCTATGAGTTCCAGGAGCATGTCTTCCCTACATGCCTGTGGATCTCCAGCAGGAAAACAACTCACATGATAAACAATAATTAACATTTAGTCTATATCAACTACTCCTGCCTGGCTACTTCTCCCAAGCCCTTAGATCCATTTTCAAGGGTAACTACTAAGGAAGGGAAGTATCCAAATTCAAATACATTTGCCATAAAAATATGCATCACTTAAATATCCTAAATCCAGGGATTAATAAACAGGTCAAACTGGGCCAGCCATGTTTCTATAAATAAAGTTGTGTTGGAATACAGTCCCAACCATTTATTTACATATTATATATGGCTGCTTTTGTGCCACAACTGCAGAGCTGAAAGATGAAAACAAAAGCCAAAACTATTCATCATCTGACCCTTTAGAGAAAAAGTTTGCTGACTCCTGCCCTAGACTACTAGAAGAAACATAGGCTAACAAGCTTTTATGGTCTCTTCATGAAAATATTTAACCTCTCTAAAATACCTACCAATGATAGTACTATTTCTAAAAATGTAATAACTTAGCCACTTAAGAATAAAAGAGATTAAGCATAATATTTGCAGAAATGGTTAATACTCCAAATATTTTTATAAGCTTTTAGTATTACTTCAAATTTTTACCACGGCTAATTGTAATTATTAAAGGCACAAAACAAACTGCTACTATGCTGTGGTTAATTATTAGGCAGGATGAACTAAAAATCACAATGCCAAATCAGTATTTCCATAGCAACCTGAACCTCCATTAGCTCTACCACAAGTAAGTAATGATTAGCACTGCTTTGTGCATTTAAAAAAAAACCTATGTCCTTTGTTAAGAGAAACTGCTGAATTTGATTCAAACCAATCTTCTTTCTGTGATCATAATCAAATCAATCTTACCACTTCAAAAAAGACATGAAAAAATTCACACAATTACAGGAAGAGAATATGGTTGTCATTTTCTGTATTTCTTCAGAGGCTACAACCAAACTAACATCCAACAAAGAAAACAACTTGATTGTAAAAACAACATACTTGTCAAAAATGATAATACAACACTATCAACTATATATAAATTGAACAACACTTTAATAAAAAATCTGGATTGAATATGTATCAGTTGTACAATTATTTGTCCAGTTTGAAGTTTAATTGATGCTATCAGTACTGATTTCTGCTGAAAATTATTAGAAAATATATAAATCATCTAAAAATATATAAGAAATGAATGAAAGGTGGAAAAGAAACATCTACTAAGTGCCTACTAGCTATTCTAGAAAACCTTCTTATAAATAAATATAGTAAGATGGTTTCATCTAAAACATGTTATCGTATAAAACTGGGATATTATTGATAAATCATACCTGTTGGAGATAAGATAGACTAAGAATGGAATTTTTAAGGGTTAAAGATAATTGGTAAATTTTTCTTAATATTCTCACATCAATGATGTTCTAGCTTAGTGAACTTCAATTTTAAAAATCAAATTTAAAATCTTAAGGGACCTAGTAGCAAATAAGGTAATATAAAAAGCATAGTGGCATATACCTGTAATCCTAGGACACTGGGAGGCTAAGGCAGGAGGATAACAAGTTTAGCCCAGCCTGGACAACTTAACAAATTTGCAAGACCCTGTCTAAAATTTAAAAACACAAAGGCTAAGGATGTAGCTCAGTATAAAGGCCCTAGGTTCAAACCCCAGTACTGTTAAATCAATCAATCAATCAATTCTAGACAATACAAATAGTAAAAAATCCCATAATGTATAAATAAAAGAAAAAAAATTATACCCATAAAGTAACAAGCAATGGTGGTGAAATGTAAAAGACACAAAAAGGTCCTAGTAATTGTATAATAAATAAAACAAAATCTCTATCTAAATATGACAAAAGAAAAATACATAACCATAAACTCCAGACAGACCTTCAGCACTGCCTTGTAAACCTACTTTACTTCACATAGGAGTTTTCCCAAAGTGTTTCACACTTTCTCAAACCTCCAATACACCTTTTCCATCACTACTCAGTTGACAACCTTAGTCTTTCCACTAAACTATTAGAAGCAATAAGAAGAAAACTTGTTCCACTACCAAATTTATGAACCTACTGGCATTTGTATACTAATATATTGCCTTTCCTCTTGTTATAACTGACAGTCAGTAATCAACTCCTTTCTAAGATCAATTCTTTTCACATTCACTCTTTAACAGGCTTTTCCCTTTACTGGACCAAAAAACCACACTAACCGAAGTCCAAGTCAACAGAAATGTTCACACTGTGAAATCCCCATCTTCAATTTCCCCATCTTCAAAGATCTTACTTACCTCTCAGAAGCAGGTGACAGTCATTCATAACCTCACCTCCTTCCTAGCTTCTCTGGCTTCTGAAGCAACATGCACACTCTCAGCTTTCTTCCTGTCTCGCTGACCAATTTCTCAGTGTCATTTGCTGAATCCTTTCTATTCTCTTCCAGTACTCTAGGCTTAGTCTTCAGAATCCTCATTACCAATGTCCTAAGTCCCATGACTTTAAATACTATTTAAATGCTCAGAGCAACCAAATCTACACAGGAGAACCAAAACCTACCTTTAGAACTCCAAAGGCAGCCACTCCACATCACATATCTAATAGGCATTTCATACTCTACATATCCACAACAGTTCTTTTGATCTCCCACTCCCATCCATACCACACAGAATTTGTCTTACTTTTCTCATTTCAATATACCAAAACTCCTAACACCTCTTACCAGTTTTACCAATCTAATATAGGGCTATTATTTGTGAAATACCTGAAGTGCTCACTGCTTCCACACTCGCCTCTGTACATTATCGTCCCAAAAAAGCATCCAGAAAAGTCCTCTTACAATATAATAAACTGGGGGCCAAGGATTTAGCTCAGTGGTTCCACCACCTGCCTCACCAGTGCAAGGTCTGGAGTTCGATCCCGGTACAAAAAAAAAAAAAAAAATATATATATATATATATATATATATATATATATATGTTTTATTTTATATATAAACTAAACCAGATCATGACATAGCCCTGTTAAAAACCTTCTCATTCAAAACAACAGCAAAAATCCTCACCACAGGACATGTAAGACCCTACATGTAATGTTTCCCATCTCATCTTCTACTTCTCTTTCCCTTCTTCCCTCTTCTTATTGTCCACTGATGTTCTTCAGGTTTGTATCTGCTTCAGATTCTCTGAATTTGCTGTTTCTTCTATTTGAAATACTCTTCCCTCTTCCCTCACTTTCAGAATCTCCTGAAGCACCCACTCCCTCCAGAGAAGCCTTTCTCCTAACACTCTGCTGAAAACAGTACTCACCATTAACTTCTAGTTCGCTTTATTTTATAGACAAATATTTTTTATTTGTAATATACTATTTGTTATAAAATATTTCATACTATGTTCATACTCTGTCTCATGGGGTATAAATATAAGCCCTTTCAGGCACAAACTGACTTGACTGCTTCTGGGTACCTAGTGCCTAGAACAGTAACTACCATAAACAGGTGTTCAATAACAACTATTAATTGACTAACACAATTGTCAACATCGATGTCTTTAGGTATAAACTTGAATGGAATATGTTCAAACAGCTAAAACTGTAATTCAATCTTCCATATAAAGTGGTATCATTTCTAAGAAGAAAACTCATAAAAATATGACCACTTTTCTACAGTGAATTTCCAGACCAGGACATTTCCAGCAATCTCTCCAAAATAAACTGAGGTAAGATTATGCTAATAAACTAAATTTAAGATCTCACGTAATTTCAGGTGATGCTTACAATGACCATTTCCATTTAAACACAAGTTACATTACTCCTACCCTCTCATACCTCTGACACACACAGATACCTTAGTTACCTTTATTTTAATTTTTTACCAGGTAGTGTATTTACACATTTTTTAAAAGACTGTAAGCTTGAAAAGATAAACAGTGAATAGTCTCCCTCCTACTCCTGTCCCTCAGATATCTAGTTCAAGTTCTCACTACCAAAACATAACTATTGGTATTATGACACATGGCTTGATTCTTTTTTTTCTGAAAAGGGTCGGGCAGTAAATATTTGCAGCTTTGCGGGCTACACAGTCTGTTACAACTATTCAACTCATTACAAAGTAAAAGGAGCCTTAGGCAACATGTAAATTAATTTACCTATTTTTCTTTCAAAAAACCTTTATTTACAAACACAGGCAGTGAAATTAATATTTCCCCTAGGATTAGTTTGCCAATTCCTGTCATAGGACTAAGTTTAAACATAATCTCTCTTTTCTAGAAAAAAACAGTGTTTAGAGGGGATTGTAATGGAAGAAACTGCAATAAAGAATGTTACTTGAAATGAAAATTCAGGGCCCGGGATTCAGCTCAGTGGTTCCAGTGCCTGCCTCCCAAGAGCAAGGTCCCAAGTTCAATCCCCGGTACGAAAAAAACAAAACAAAACAAAAAAGAAATGAAAATTCACTCTATTTCTGAAATGATGTGCTAAAATAATATATATGTATCTATATAAATAGACTGAAGAGTATTCCAAAATGTTTTCTCTATAACCCATAATACATGACTCCAAACAGTTCCTTTTCCCTTATGGCATAATTACAAAAAAATTAAAGGGCTATCAAGACAAGACAGGCTAGTAATTCAACAAACACCACATTACCAATCACTGAATCCTGCTTCAAACTTTCTTTTAAGTGGTAGATTAAATATGAAGTAAAATCTTCATAGAATACATTAAAGACATAAACCAGAGTTTATATTTAAAATGAATCCAAATCCCAAATGTATTTTTCTAATATGTTCCTCATATGTCTTACAAAAGATTTAATTTAATAAACTTAACCAAGATTAGAGAAAAACAGATCTCTCTGAAAAGTAGATTATTGATAGATTGAAGAACTAGCTCCTCAAAATCTAAATGTATCCCAGGAATACCTTACCTTAGATGCCATTCTCATAAAAAGTTTGTTTTGACTTTCTGCAGTTCCCATCTTTTCATTTTTGACTAAATCATTTAGGCTTAGATGATCATCATCATGAAAGTATCTGACTCTTTCCTTTTCCTCATGGGTAGAAACCTATGACAAATGAACATTATTAATTTGGGTAAAATATAAGTCTCTGAAGTATTTTTAATGCACTACCTATAAATCTCCTCATAAATGTAAAATTCCCACCATTTATACCAACATTGCCTTCCAGTTGCTCCCTGCTTCTAGGTCAAAGAATTTCCAGTAGAATTACACTCCCTACTTCCTCGGTCCATTTACTCTCCTCTTCTCTAGGGATGAAAGCACGACATTACTGATCTAAATTTTGTTGAGAAGATCAAATTAACACTATCTCTTCTTCTCTCTTCTCTGCTCTTCTCTTTCTTGTAGTTAAAATTCCAGTGATGGGATAAGTACATCAAAAATGGTTTCAGTATTAGCAAACCCACTGCTATGGATTTAATTTGGACAATGTTTGAACCTTAGCCCCTAAAAACCCACATATTGAAATCTCAAAGTGAGGGTATTAGGAGGGGATCTTTGGAGGAGGTAATCAGGTCATAAAGGTACAGCCTTCATGAATGAGATTTACACCCCTATAAAAAGACATGAGAGAGCCAGTTCCTCCACTCCCTCCCCTTCACCACCCTTCTTCTCTGACACGTGAGGATAAAATGAGAAAACCACTACCAACAAACCAAAAAGCATGACCTCACTATATACTTGCCCTGATCTGGACTTCCCAGTCTGCAGAACTGTAAGAAATAAATTTATATTGTTTAGACCACCCCGTCCATGGTATTCTGTTATAGTAACTGGAATTGGTAAGATACCCACATCTAACTATTAAACCCTTATTCTACATACAGCTTTATCAGAAACAAAAGCTGATATTCTGATCCCCATCTAATTCAATCCCAAGTTCTCCTCTCAGTTGGTTCTATATCCAGGTATGTACTAGAAAAGTACTATTTATTTCCTCCCACATCAAATTTCCTCAATGCTGCTCTCACATTTCCTTATCCAAATAAATTTTGGCCTTCAATTTCTTTGAGATATTTGGAATCAAAGTCTCACAATTTTCCCCAACAGTGCTACTTTCTTCACTAGTTCAAATCTCATATGTCACAACTTCAATCACTTCCTGGCTCCAAATCAGACAGGTGGATTGATGGAATAGAACACAGGATGCAGACACAGTCAGTTGTTTGATCTTTGCCAAATGAGTCAAAAACATACATTGGAGGCAAGTTAGCCTATTTATCAAATGGTGCTGGGAAAACCTGCTACCTCTATCCATGCAGAAGATTGAAGCTTGACCCATACCTCTCTTTGTATACTAAACTAAAACCAAAATGAGTCAAAGATATTAAAACAGAAACTCTTAACCTACTGGAAGATAAAATACGTAAAAATTTTTGAAGTCTTAGACGTAGCCAAAGACTTTCTAAACAAAACTCCAATTGCACAAGAAATAACAACAAGAATCAACAAGTGGGATATCAAATTAAAAACCTTCTGTACAGCAAAAGAAACAACCAACAAACTGAAGAGACAACCTAAAGAAAGGGAAAAATATTTGTGCTAGCTACACCTCAAACAGAAGACTGATCTCTAGAATATATAAAGAGCTCAAAAAAATTAGATCCTCCAAAATAGAAGACCTAGAGGGCCGGGGATTTTGCTCA